TTTTTTTTTTTTTTTTTTAATGACAGGGTGTCACTCACTAAGCAGTTCGCGCTGACCTTGAACTTAAAAGGAAGCCTCCTGCCTTGGCATCCCTGGTACTGGAATTACGGGCATATGCCACCATGCCCAGCAGGACTTGCTTTTTAAAATTTTTTTAAAAATATTTGATACAGGTTCCTCCACAGTGCTAGAATTATTGGCATGTGCCACCATGCCCAGTTTGGGGGCTGGTGCACCATGCAGTACCAGGGATCAAACTTGGGTCCTTGCATTTTCCAGGCAGGTGCTCAGACCACCAAGCTATCTCCCCAGCCAGCGAGCAGCACTTTCTTGTTTGACATTTTATGACCCAGATATCATGTGTTAGATCCTTTCCTGTACCTCGCACTTTATGTGGTGGTTTTTTTTGTTGTTGTTGTTGCTGTTGTTTTGTTTTGGTTTTGCTTGTTTGTTTGTTTTGGTGGAACCAGGGATTGAACTCAGGCCCTTGTGCTTCCCAGGGAAGCACTTATTCCACTGAGCCATCTCCCCGGCCATACCTTGCACTTTCCAACTTTCCATATCTGTTGCAGTTCAGATATATATTGTTCTTGTTTTGGTGTGGTTTGTTTTTTTGTACTTGGGATAGAACCCAGGACCTTGTGCTTGCCAGGCAGGTACTTAAGCCACTGAGCTATCTCCCCCAGACCTGCAGTTCAGATTTTGTTGTTGAAAAAGTGAAAGGCAGGTTGGCAGCCTGACTCCTGTCACACATTTGTTCTAGAGCAAGGAAAAGGGAGAATCATTCCATTCTCAAGCCCCAACCCAGAACTGAGCTTTATCCACCCCCCATCTCCATTATGTTACCCCTGAAACAGAAGGCCTCTGTGACTGCTGCGGGTGTCCCAGGGAGATGGCCAGAGCTGGGCGGCCACCAGGACTTCCAGAGCAAAAGTAGGAAATTAAACTTGACCTGGTGGTGCAGGGGGATCTCTGTGAGTTCAAGGCCAGCCTGGGATACACAGTCAATTCAAGGCCAGCTTGAACTACACAAGGAGACCTTGGCTCAAAACAAACAAGCAAGGAGTTAGATCAGAACTGAACTGAGTCAAATGTATTGTTAACTTTTTATTTTGAAATGATGACAGATTCACAAGAAGTTGTTAAAAGTAGTGGAGAGGTCTCACCCTTCCCTCAGTTTGCACTAATGGTTCTATGCTTTTTTTGTTTTTGTTTTTTGAGGCAGGGTGAGGCAAGTTTTAGCTAAGTTACTAAACTACCCAGGAACTCTCAGTCTTCCTGCCTCAGCCTCCCAGAGTTCTGGGATTTTGGCATGTACCACCATGCTTGGCACAATAGCTCTTTTTTTTTTTTTTTCTTTTTTGAGGAACCAGGGATTGAACTCAGGCCCTTGTGCTTGCCAGGCAAGTGCTTGTTCTACTGAGCCATCTCCCCAGCCCCACAATAGCTCTATCTTAACTTAGATATGGTTTTTAAACTTCCTGTGCATGGGGGATGGGGAAACAGCTCAGTGTGGAGTGCTTGTGCAGCCTATGTGACGCCACAGGTTTGATCCAGCACCACCAACACAGCTTACACACCTGCAGCTAGGCTGCCTCAGCCACTGCTTTGTCAGTGGCAGACCTTGGAGACTGACAATCTCTGGAGGAACTCCTGGAAGAAAAGAGATGCAGGAACCTTGGCAGAATAGGAGAGAGAAGATAACTTGAAATTCCAGTTGGCCCAGGTGAGAAAGCCTAAAGGAAAGGACTGGAGAAAGAGGCGGGGTGCCCAAGCAGTGGCAGTGTGGGCCAGAGAGCACCCGGCTCCAGGGTGGGAGGTGGGGGTGACAGGAGACACGTAAGGGAATCTAGGATCTCACAGAGAGAAGCAGGCTGGAGACCAAGGGGACTGTGGAGAGCTGAGACTAAAGTGGGTCTGAGGCTCTCAGGGAGGTTCCTGCAGCTACAGACACTGCTGTGTGGGTTTGGGAGTGGAGAGAGTTAGAAGAGGGGAAGACAGAGACAAGAAGCACGGGGGTGGTACTAGAGCTGGAAGCCTGTTGCTATGGTGTGAGCGAGAGGCCTGGGCCTCCATCCAGGAGTCAGGATCTGGCCCAGCTCAGGGACAGGCACTGCCAAGTGGACAGAGCCAGCTTCTTGGGTGGGTTTTTCTGTCGCTGGGAGAAGGACTGTGGGGGTGGTGGTAAGGAGCTGGTAAACAAATTGGAAAGGACACAGAAGACAGCACAGCTTTGCACAGTGATCAAAGCCCTGAGCATTTTCCTACCTTCCTGATCTCTGGGCCTTGCCTGCCTTGAAAGCTAGGGATAAAGGCTTATTGCAGGAATCTGAGTTTCAGAAATAGGAACAAGGAAGGGATCATTTGGAAATTAAATTCCCTAATAGAGGCTGATGATACCTATGGGGTCACCTTTATACCTGCGGGAGCAGAGCAGATAGAGCCTTTGTTTGGTAAAGTTGGTTTGGTAGAAGCAGCTGGTGGATGGCTGCTCAGGTGCCAGGGTGCAGGTCGTGAGAGGAAAGGAGGTCTGAGTGAGCGTGCAGTACTCATTATAGACGTCACAGTAGTAGTCAGTATAATTGCAATATTTCTGGATGTCTTTCCAGGAGGCATGCAGCACATAGTGGATCTTGGGGCAAAACCAGTCTTGCCTTCTGCCCCTCACGTAGGCCATAAATCCGTTACAGTAGCCCTGGAAACCCTCTGCAAAACTAACCCTGGGGTAGTCGATGTGTAACTTGCGGAAGTCTTGGGCCTGAGGCTGCAGCTTGATGTCGGCGACCAGAGTTGGCCCTAGAACAAGCTGAAGGAAGAGGAGCTGGGCCCCAGCAGCTGCCATTCCTCCTGTTGGCAGAGTGAAGGTAGCCATAGTCAAGGAGGGCCTCGGGCGCCTATGTGCCCCTCCCAGTGCCGCCAGCATTCCTCCACCTTCCCCATGAGCCCTGCTTACCATCTAAGAGCTGGCTGGGCCCTCAAACTCATCCCCCAATTCCTTGTACCCCAGAGAGAGAAGGCCCTTGCCCAAAGCCTCCCAGATGGATCAGCTGCCCACAGCTGTCCCTGTGCCCTGCCCCGCAGTGGGGTATCAATCTCACCCGTCTATGAGCTGTGACACTTGCAGAGTAAGAAACCCAACTGATCCTTGGGTGAAAGACAGCTTCCCAGTTATCTACCCCAACACCTTTTCTGCCTTAAAAAACAAAACAGAACAGAAAGGATAGAAGGAAAAGGGATAGCTGATGGTTCTCAGACAGCTCTGGAAGCTCTGGAAAGCCCAGCGCTGAAGACAGCTGGGTGGGGGCAGGGATGCTTTTTGCCTGAGGCAAAGGACAGCCTAGCCTTGGGCTGTTTGGAAGGTTTCTGGTTGGAGACCAGTCTAGGAGGAGCAAGTGTCCCATGAATTTGAGCAGCCCCTGTGCTGAGGGGGTTGGAGAGGTGGGAGGAAAGAGACAGTGCTGTCTGATCTTCTCCTCTCTGCTGTCTTTAGAACACTTGGTCCCAACTTCCTTGCCAATAATCCCTAAGTCCCTGGACTTCCTTTGATGTTTGCTCTGGCACATCAGCCCTGCTCCCACAGCAAGGTGGGAAGAAAGTGCTGTCAAGTTTCTGAAGAACTAAGTGTTATTCCTGACCTTCAGAAAACAGAGGCTCCACCACTCACAGGAATTCAGGAGGCTGTGTGTGTGCATGGGGGCCTCCCATCACAGTGCCAGCTGAGGCCAGGTATGGTGACACACACCCAGCCCTCAAGAGCCAGAGGTGGGAAGATGCTGGGAGTTCCAGGTCAGCCTGGGATACATAATAAGTTCAACACCTGCCTGAACTACATAGCCAGACCTGGTCTCAAAAACACCAAATAAAGGGCCAGTGAGATAGATCAATGGAATAAGTGCCTGCTTAGGCAAGTGTAGGTTCATTCCCTGAACCTACATGCTGCACTGGCCCCATCCCCAGGCACGATGAGTTGGCGACTCAGTCCAGGTGTACTGGTGCACACCTGTAATCTCAACACTGGGAGGCTTGAAAACAGGAGGATCACTATGAGTCTGAGCTTTGTAGTGAGACCCTGCACAAAATACTTTAAAAAGAAAACAATGTACCAAGATGAGAACCAAGGACCTCCACAGTCTCTGTTAGCAATCTTGCTCCTGTCACATCAACATCCCTCACCCATACAGGGCCCTGCTGGTCTGTACTCCTGGCAATCTGTGCACCTCACTCCGGCTTAGCAGTTGGACCCTCTGCACCGCCTAGTCCTGAGGGGCCTGACCTGAAGCTGAGCCCTTCCCTGACCATTCTCCCACTGTTGGCTGGCCTTTGGGCCGTGCTGGGGAGAAAGCCAGACTCCTGGTTGTCCTTTTCCTCAACTATCAACTGTCTGCCCTTCAGCAGAGCTGAAGATCCAACTCCTGAGCTGCTAACTCTAGTCCTCAGCTTCCACAAGCCTCACAGCCCTGCCTTCTGTCGCAGTGCTATCCACAATTTGGGCTGCTTTGTAGAATGCCTTTTAACCTCTGCCAGCAGCACAGGGAGTCCCGAGGCAGAAAGAACAGTGGGTGCTCCAGGGGGCCACAGGGAGACACATTGGAGCTCCTTTTCAGCTTTCTTTCTTTCTTTCTTTCTTTCTTTCCTTCTTTCTTTCTTTTTTTAAGGCTTTTTCTGACAGCACAAGCTAGAGTCCAAAGATGAATCCAGAAAACCAAAATCCATTGTCTTCACATCTTCTTGTCCCAGTGTTGTCTGTTTCTTCAGTGTTATGATTTAGATCCAAAATATCCTCCCAAACCCTCACATGTTTTGAGGTGGGGTATTGGGAAGATGTTTGGGCCGTGAGATCAGTGCACTCATCCAGGAATTCATTTATGGATGAGTTGAGGAGGAGTGTGCTGCGAGAAGGTGGGGCCTGGCTGGAGGTGGGTCAGTGAGGGGGGTGACTCCCAAGCACCTCCCCACCCTCTTCTTCCCGCTTCCTGGCTGCCATGGGTGAGCAGCTCCCTTCCACTCTGCCCCTCATCCTGCTGCTGCTGCCTTCGAGCCAGCTGCCCCTGGTCTGAATCCACCCAAATCACAAGCAAATCAAGCTGCAGGTGTTACGTGAGTATTGTGTCCTCGTTGTAAGAGCGTAGACCTGCACAAGAAATCTGAGAGCAATCCTAAACTCCTCCGTCCCCTCAACCCCCATGCGGAGGCAAGACTGAACGGTATACAAGATTCAGGCTTTGAGTAAAATAAACCAAAACTGCATCCTGATTCTGTCGCATTCATGCTGTGGCTCATCAGTCTAAGTTCACTAAGCCACCATACACTTCCACTTCTTTGTCCTCTCAGGAGGACAATGTTTTATGCGCCATGGCCACATTTGTTAATGCATGTAGCAGGAGCAGTTAGCCCAGTGCGTGGTCTACAGCGAGTACTCAATATGTGTATGAATCCATCCACCATGAAGCCCCAACAGTCTTCAATGAATCCTTCTCCTGACCCATCCCTCTCATTCCTATTTCTTCTGCTTAGGCTCTCCTCTCTCCTGGACACCACAACTCCCTAACTCCAGGAATGCCCAATACAAATATATCCTTCGCCCAAGTGCCAGATTAAAAATATAGTCCCTTTGGGGCCGGGGAGATGGCTCAGTGGAATAAGTGCTTCCCTGGCAAGCGCAAGGGTCTGAGTTCAATGCCCGGTTCCGCAAATAAATAAATAAATAAATAAATATAGTCCCTTCTTTGGCCTACCACATTACAAAAGCCCCAGTCTGCCTCCTACTGTCCCCTCTACCAGGAGTGCCGCTGCCACACCCTCTCCCTCTCTACCAGTCTCGCAGGTCCCATTTCAGAAGTCTAAGCTTGGAATGACCTCCCCCGGGAATGTGCACAGCCAAGCCAGGGAGGACTAAGCCCAGCAGCAGGTGGTACATCCATGTCTTTCAGGCTGCTCAACACAGCACCGGAACAGGAGTCATGCAAGCCTGGGCCTGAATCTGGCTGACTCAGGCCTTTTGAGAAAGCCTACCATAGAGGCCGTGGCCCCCGCCTGGAGCTGTGCCACCTCGCCCCACAAGGCTGAGGCCTCCCTGAGAAGAGGAGGAGGCTTTCTGTGCCTCTTGGTCTCCCTCTTTCTTCATCACCTGCCCACACATTACCACTCCAGGTGCCCCAGCTCACCTAGCCTGTGGGACTCCAGAACCCAGAGGGCACATGATGGGGGGTAGCGCTCAGGACTGAATACCCGCTGCCCTGCTGTTTCCTCTTCTGTTGGGTGCAATAGCGCTTTCCTTACCTCATGAAGCTGCAAGAATGAAATCAGACAACATTGGGGCCGGGGAGATGGCTCAGAGGAATAAGCGCTTCCTGGCAAGCACAAGGGCCTGAATTCAATCCCCAGTTCCACCAAAAAAAAAAAGAAATCAGACAACTTGTGAAAGTGCTCGTTAATCATTAAATATAGATAGATAGATAGATAGATAGATAGATAGATAGATAGATAGATAGATAAACTAGCTGGACACAGGCTCCTAAATTCCACACTAAACAAGCCTGGTGATGGCATCCCTAACCCCAACTTTCTGCCCACTCTACCCATCTGGAGCACTTTCTAACTTCTAACCTAGAATTCACTTCCTTGAAGCTTTTGACTATGGTGAGATAACTTTAAAAATAGCCAGATATTATCTGAGAGGCAATTTTTAAAATGTTGTGGATTATATCCAGAATTCGTGGGAAAGTCATACATGTTCCAAGTCAGGCGCTCAGGTCCAGGGATGGTGGTGGGTGCGAGCAGTCCTGATGCATAGGATCGCTTCATCCATTCTGACATCCGCCTCGTGGTTCCATGAGCTCCTGATTTTACATAAACAAGAACCACCCTAAGCATGAGGAACTAAGTCCTGGAGAGATAGTAGTTTGCTCCCAGTCATACGTCAAATTCAGTGGTTCTCAACCAGGAATCACTGGGTAACTTCTGGAGGGCACATAGTGTGTCATCACTGGAAGTTGACAAGGCTAGGGATGGTGCTACAACTCCTGCGTTGTATCAAACAGCTCCCACAGCAAGAACTGTCCAGACCAACATGCAAATGACACTGAGACTGAGAAGCCCTGGACTGATTAACAAGACAGTCAAATTTCCTTTGGAGAGGGCTGGAGAGATAGCTCAGTGAAATAAGCACTTCCTTGGCAAGTGCAAGGACCTGAGTTCAATCCCTGGTTCCCCCCCCAAAAAAAAAACGGGGGGGGGGGCGGGGAGATGGCTCAGTGGAATAAGCACTTCTCTGGCAAGTGCAAGGGTCTGAATTCAATCCCCGGTTCCGCACCAAAAAAAAAAAAAAAAAAAAATTCCTTTGGAGAGAGACTGACTTGTATCTTATGCTTCTGTTTTTGTTGTTCAGGGAATTCGTGTGCAGGGTCTCCAGGTGCTAGGCAAGCACTCTACCCCAATCCATATTCCCATTCCTTTTTATTTTGAGATGGGGTCCTGATCAGTTGCCCAGACTGGCCTTAAACTTGCCCTTCTTCTGCCTCAGCCTCCCAAATAGCTGTATTACAGGTGTGCACTATCGTGGTGGTTTACTTTATGTATTTGAAAAGTTTGCTGGGTGTGGTGGCACATGCCTATAATTCCAGCATTCAGGAGGCTGAGGCAGGAGGATAACCATGAGTGTGAGGCCAGCCTGGGCTATGAAGCAATTCCAAGTCTAGCTTGAACTACATAACAAGATCCTGTCTAAAAAAATAAAATAAAATTTAAAAAAAGAAAGCAATGGGCTGGCAAGATAGCTCAGCGGACTAAGCACCTGCTTTAGCAAGCACAGGGACCAGCATTTGATTCCAGTCCAAGCTGTATAGTGAAACCCTGTACCAAATCCATAAATTGAAAAAATAAATCATAGGTAAACATATGAAACCTGGAAGTGATTTTTGTTAAACTGATTTTTATTATAATTGTAAAGATGCTGGTTCTTCTGTCACCAAAAGTAGTACTGATAGTTGAACACTGAAACAGTAAGTTTTATTCATTTTTCTTATAAAGGGGACCCTCTGGGCATGGTGGTACACACCTGTAATCCCAGTACTGTAGGAGGCTGAAGAAGGACAATCACAAATTCAAGCAGAGTCTTAGCAATTTATTGAAACCTTGTGTCAAAATAAAATAAAATAAAATAAATAGGGGGCCAGGGAAATGGCTCAGTGGAATCAGTGCTTTCCTGTAAGTGCAAGGGCCTGAGTTCAACCCCCAGTT